AGGGGGGGGGGGGGGGGGCAGGACAGGGGCAAGGACAGGGAGGAATGATCAAAGGAACCAATATCGTCCACTGCTACAAGTTTTACAATACATACACACATACACCAGTGTTCGCAGCCAAAGAAATCACCATCTGCCAAAATGTCCCGAATGCTACCCTGGGTTTGTTCGTGTTTTTCCCGCCCGGCAAATTCGGCTGACCACGACTCGACCTTGCATCTTCCAGAATGGATATTCGTTATGCAGTAATAACAACTCGTCAGCAATTTGGGGGCCGACGGCACAAGACATGGTGCTTATTTTGCTCGCAGAGTAAGCTGCCTCATCCGAGCAGATTCCAGAGTCATGGTAAGCAACGTCTTGGACAACTGCCCATCAACGGAAATGTAATGTTGCGTCTGCAAATCTATCCACGGCCATCGATGCAACTCGCCGTTCTGCAAAAGGGCTAGGACATGGGTTTCATTCAAATGATAAGAGGCTCCCGTCCGCCTGTCGAGTGTGCGGACAAAGCTTCAAGAAAACAAAAAGTCTTGCCGTCCTGTTGTACGTATGATTCGGGCCTTCCAAGGCTTCAGGACTGGTCCCTGGTTGGCCAGGTTGGCCTGGTTCATTGATGACGGGGGTGCAAGTTGAGGATGTGGATTTTTTTTTTTTTTGGAAGGGGGGGCGTGTTCTTACCGCTTAGTCAACCTCTAGCCGCAGCCAGCAATACAGGAAGTGAGATGTGTATACGATATTCAGGGGTTCGTGTCTCTGAGGTTCGCGTGTACGGGAAATGTCGAGAGGTGTACTCCGGTTGGTTTACAGAGTACTTAAATGCCAGCATCTCCAATGTTGGAGAGTGCGTGAGAACCTGACCGGCTTCTTCTCCGTCCGAACCACCGCAAAAACGGCCGAAAATATCCAGGGCTGCACCGTGGCTAGAGCCAGAGACATTCGACACTACTCCAAGGAGGGATAGCTGCATCATCTCTTGCAGTTTTGCGGGGATGTTATGCAAAGGGACTGTGTGCACCGCAGAATGATGGCATCAGGCTCCTCACTCTTCCCGAGGTTGCCCTAATTTCGTCGAAATAGGCATGACAGATTGTCTCCCAAGTACAAGTACCGTCAGCACCTGCCACAAGGCGATACCGCGATGCTCCGTGTCAGACCTCCGTCGTCTCGTATGAGCCAGAAGTTGGCCTGCAAAAACTTCTAGTCCCAATCCCGTCGTCCACCCAGCCCACTGTTTTCTGATCGGAACCACAGACTGTAAAGCCGATTCTTAAGTGGAGATGGACTCCACGGTCTTGTCTGCTTGACGTTGATGCTGCGGTGATCCTTTTTGGAACCGGTGGCACCAACCTTTCCAACCACGCCCGCTTTGGCCTGATCCCTCTTCTGGTGATGGAGGCGAGGGACAGATGACGGGTTCTTGCGCCCCATCATCACTTAAATGTCGCCATTCTAACCGAAAGCCTTGCGGGGCACAGGAATGCGAACGAATAATGATTTCGTCGATGCCTCCCACCTTGAGCCGAGTGTGACTACCCTTCGGACCCGAGTCACGGAGCATTTCGCACAGTGTAGTGTATTTTGTTTGAAAGATTAGCCTGAGGGATATCTCAACTGGTGTAAGCTGTGCTTGTGTTTTTTTTCTTGGACGAAGCTATAATGCAGCTCTGTTGCTCTAGACGCCGAAGCTGTCAGGTTGTCTCTCGAGTGACGATGTTGGTGTTATCTACAAATCGCCTATAAATTGCAAATATGTGATCCAACGGGAGGTTCTTCCTGTAGTCGGGCGTGGTCCGGCTGGTCTTTAGACCTGTTCCTCAAATGTCAGTGAGGAATCTGAAGAATCAACCCCATGCCCTATGTTAAGCCAAGCAGCGTGTTTTGCAGTGAGCAGCCCCAGGATTCTTTTTTTTTTCGCTGGACTAGGCAAATGCAAAGGCTCGCAGACGTACGGAGTAAACAAGGCACATCTGTTGCCATGTACGGAACCGAAAAGTGGAAGATGGCTGATGTAGACCAGCGGCTGCATAAACCACGCGACATTCGAAAAAAATGTCTCTCCTGCCGGTCGTCGGTGGCTCCTTTCACACGAAAGTTCGCAGTCACTAAACAAACTATAGCTCATCAGCCATAGAAACAATAGAGAAGCTCATAACCTCTTGTGCCCAGAATATTGGTATCTGGTTCCCATATTTTTGAGTCCATATATCCCACCCTATGCAGACTCACGCTCAGAGATGCATTATGAAATGCATTAATAGTGGATGTACACCCCTGCGACTCCGCGACTCCGGCCTAGAAGTTGGACAAAGAGTCATGCACCAACGGACAAGACCAATGCGTTTGAGTAATAAACAGAGCCTGCTACCAGCACTCCGTAGTCTAGCGAGACCTAGAGCCGAGCGGAAGCTCCTCACATTGGCGAGGGCATGTTGGTGCACCGGGTCTAACGATTTCGGCCGACCATCTTAGTCTATTGTGGCTGTAAAGGAAAGGCAAGCGCGCGGAGATCGTCAACGAAATTGGTGGGTCAGCCGAATGAACCACACTTGGCGAACCTTTTGCTGCCAATCGTCTACCATTACACCCCCAATCGCCTAGATGTGGGCGACAAGGTTGTGTCCATGACCCAGGGTACCTTTGTTGGCTAAGCCGTTTGTGACGGTTGGTGCGTCTTCACAGGACAGTCCGATGGGGAGAGCACGCAAGGGCACAAACTTGTCGGGTTATTGTGCATCAGACGTTGTCGTGCCAGGTCTAGGCGGTCGTTGAAGGAAAGCGCTGATGATATGTGCCGGACGTGTCGCTCATTGCGAGGGCCCCTGTAGCAGAGCAAGATAGCTACGGCAGGTATGTCCCAACAGCCTCACGGTGATGAGTACTTGTCAGCTCACAAGCTCGCGTTAGGGTCTACGGGATGAGGCCTACTTGTCATATGCAGTTCGGAGATGGGCAGTGCGCATCGGTATCGATGGGTATCTATCGCTTCCATAGAAGGTGTCGTGCCCTCCCAAGCAAATCTGCAGATACTGGCTTGGTAGCGTTTCCAACTCACGCCATCTGTACTCCGGATGGAGTACGAAGTCGTGAGCTCCGCAATCAAACCAGACTGGTCGTGCCCAGTATTTGCCACTTGAGATCCACGCGGCAAGAAAAGTCATAAATCCAAGAAAGGGCTCGAGATTCGGATCGCTGAATCGTGGATACTGAACTATCCACCCCTTTGCTTACTTATTTAATAGCAATATTTATCTGCGTCCAAGAACATGACAGTCTCGGAAGGTCCGTTCGAGC